AGATAAAACATGGGCGGTACTATTTCTCGATTATGGACGTCTGAACCAATCTGGGTGGGCTTGGTTGGTATACAATCGGCGGGTAAAACAGCTATTGTATACAGACTCAGTGGGAATAACGCACCAGTAACACCATCTACCGACAGTGAGTCACCTCAGTATGATAAAACTACAAATACTCATAAAGAAAACAGCAGTTACTTCCACTCCGATCTACCAGGCAAGCCAGCACTTTGATCTTCTTGATTATACGAGTGAGCCCAAAATAAGACCAGCTTGGAGGAGTTTTATGACTAGGGTCCACGCTGTTGTATTTGTTATCGACAGCACAGACAGGGATACTCTACCAGAAGCCAAAACAGAATTATTGTACCTGCTGAAAGAAATAATGCTGGACCATCAGCCGTTTCTCATTTTCGCTAACAAGCAGGATATCCCAGTGAGCAACAATCTTGGACTGCGTGCAAAGCTGGAACTAATGTTGAGTAGAAAGCCATGAGTACTGCTGAGCTTACCGAATTTCTTGATATTCAGCAGTATCTCGACAGAGACTTGAAATGCGTTTGTGTTCCTTTTTGTTGAACTACGGAGCTGATGCTGACCGTGTGATTAATAGTGCGTCCAAGGGTCAAGTGCTGTTACTGGAGATGGCTTGACTGAGGGTCTTGAATGGGTGCGACAGGCTGTGACAGCGCGTCAGAAATAAACAAGGGGCTTTTCCCAAGTAAAGCTATCACTGATTTAGACTTAGAAGAGTATGTGGGATTATTTTCATGTTACAAACTGCATTGTCGCATAGGAAAAAGTCCCTAAGAGTGTCCCTACTTATTTGATGTCTGAGCCTCTCCTCTAGATTACTGTATCTCAATTGCATTGTTCCTCTCTTGGTCAGATTAATACAATAATATTACACACTTTCGACTTGGTCTTTATTATGTAATACTCGTCCCATGAGCAATTGGTGGCAACGTTCATGCCTTACCCTCCACTTTGGCCTCAACTTTAAAAGTCTAGAAATGCTCGATCATGCACGGGATCACCTTTTCAGCCTCAAGCTTCTTATTACTGGCTACAGAGATATTTAAATGGATCCAAACGACGGACCGGTTACCTTGCCAGCTCCTTGGGTCCGAAATCCTTCCAGGATCAGTCGGGGAACTGCTAATTTTTCGCGCAAGTCAGCAAAGGCAAACCCTTCACCCGCGGATTCGGAAGAGAAACAAGCTCACAGTGGAGTCTAATGGAGCTCTGGGCTATCCCTCTTTTACTGGTAAGGTCCGGTTCAAGAGATACCTTAAAAATTGCACAACAGGCTCCGTTCATCAGTCGAGTAACAAGCTTTGGATGCATAAGTCCCGTTTCTCTAGAGCTACAATCGCATCATGTTCGCTTTAGCCTTCTTTGTATCTCAGTCCTCTGATCACTCACTCTTTCAACGAGGGATTTTCAGTGCACTTCGAAACCGAGGACGGATCACATATCCGAGAATCAGCAGTCTTATCCACTCAGTAGAATTCCAAGCACGGCCAAGACCCCTAAGCCAATAGCTTGGAAAATTTAGACTCCGGTGATTCCCGCGACAGCAACTGATCAAGGTGATCAGATAAGATGACAGACCACATGTCTCCGGTCGCAAGACGGGAAAAAATCGATTGATAAGATAGAATTTGACACTAACGCAACACGAAGTGGGGGGAAGGATCATATCTAAAAGATCTAATCTGATATTGGAAACTACCTCCGGGCTCGTAAGGCTTGGCACCCGGATCTGCCCACTCAGACCAGTCTAGCCAGTCCGAAGGATCATCGGTCGAACTGCCAAGACAGCTTCTGCATGCAACCTTTGCCAGGATGTCTGAGTTCTTTTGCCTCTTGGTGATATTTTAAAAAGAATACAGATCATCCTTCGAAGGTTAACCTTTCCTCGACATCTTTTCTCTCACACGCCTGTTAATCTTTGCTACAGTGCTTGCAGGCAAAATGAACCCTCCCGAGGTTGTCCCCCACCAGGATGGCAGGTCTTCTGACGAAGAGAAGAACACTGGCATCCCCCAGACACAGAGTGCTGCTGTCAACGATGGCTCCTCGGACTTTGAGTCCGATGGCGAGTACCAGCAGGGTGTTGAGCGCGTGCGTGCCATTACCTCTGTCTGGTCCAAGAAGACCCTCCTCAGCATGTTCCTCATGTGAGCTCTTCTCATGATTCTTACCATACCTTTCTCTAACTATCTTAGGCTGTACTTGATCTCGTTTGTCGACATGATCATGAACTACATCGACTCGGCCCTCAACCCATACATCACCTCGAGCTTCGGCGCCCACGGTCTCCTCAACATTGGCAGCATTCTAGCCAATATCATCGGCGCTTGTGCTCCGCTTCCTTTGGCCAAAGCCATTGATGTTTGGGGCCGAGTCGAGGGTTTTGCCTTTATGATGGTTGTCTGTATCGTTGGCATGATTATGAAGGCCACCTGCACCACTGTGCAGATGTACATTGGCGCCCACATTCTCTACTGGGTCGGCCACATTGGTGTTATGTATGTCATCGGCGTCATGTTGGCTGATATGACAACCTTGACCAATCGTGCGCTCATCTACGGAATCAACACCACTCCCCGTATCGTTGCCACCTTTGCCAGCCCCGCGATTGCGACAGAATTTTACGACAAGCTCAACTTCCGCTGGGCGTTTGGCTCTTTTGCCATCATTATCGCTGCTTGCAGTATTCCTGCCATGGGCACAATGGTTTACATGTTCCGCACCGCCACCAAGCAAGGCGTCATCACACGCAAGAGGTCTGACCGCACATTCCTCCAGTCTCTCAAGTTCTACTTTGTTCAGTTTGATATTGTTGGCATTGTGTTGCTGTGTGCTTGCATCTCTTGTCTTCTTCTTCCCTACAGCTTGGCTCCGTATGCTCCCAAGGTCTGGGCGACGCCATACATTATCGCTCTCGAGGTCCTTGGAGTTGTGCTGATTCCCATCTTCTACGTCTGGGAGGCAAAGGTAGCTCCTGTTCAGTTCTTACCATTCAAGTACCTCAAGCAGGGAACCATCATCGGTTCATGCTTGCTTAACGCCATTATGTTCCTGTCGACCTTTAGTTGGAATGCCTACTTTGGCTCCTACCTCCAGGTTGTCAACAGGTTGAGCATCTCCAACGCCAACTACGTCCTCAACGCCTACTCTCTCACCTCTTCCGTCTTTGCGCCCTTGATTGGCTGGTGGGTCTCATACTCGGGTAACATCAAGTGGACTGCCATGGCTGGTGCTCCTATCATGTTGCTTGGCACCGCTCTCATTATTCCCTTCCGAGCACCAGACACCAATGTTGGTCTCCTGGCTTTCACACAAATCCTCGTTGGCTTTGGCGCTGGTGTCTTCTCCACTGTAGACCAAGTCGCTGTCATGGCCCCTGTTACCCACCAATATCTGGCCGTCACCAGTGCTCTCTCGGGTCTGTTTGGCGGTGTCGGCGCTGGTATTGGTTACGCCATTGCTGGTGGTCTGTGGAACAACATAATGCCCGCTCAGCTGGCCCAGCGCCTTCCTGAAGCTGTCAAGGCAAATGCATCGATTATCTTCGGTGACATTGAGATTCAGAAGGCATTTGCTGATGGTTCTCTTGAACGCGAGGCCATTGTTGGGGCATATGCTCACACCATGAGACTCATGGCCATCACAGGTGTTGCCACCATGCCTCTTTGTGTTCTCTCTATTATTATCTGGAGAAACATTAATGTCCGCAAGGTGGAGGAGGAGAAGGGAAAGCAGACAAAGGGCATGGTCTTTTAGTTGCATACACTTATGAGCTTCCCCTCTTGGTATACATGCCATTAGGATATAGGTTCTAAGTTGATCAAAAAGTAATTATCATATAATACAAAGAGTTCCTAAGCCTCTCATATTCTAGGTTCTTGTCTACTAAATCTAGGGTATGACTTGTGGTGGTATCCTCTGGCTAGTGAAAGATGAATCCGCAATGTAAATAAATCTCCATATCAGCTATCTCCATGCAAAGGCATAGCAACCTTTTAGTATACCACCAGACCAGGTCATCTCTTTACCACGAGATGTTAAAAAGACCAAGAGAACATGTTGCTTCTACCTGAGATCCATGTCCGCAAAATGCTGAACCTCAGGCATGTGCCCTAATAAGATACCCCATTGCCCATTAACTACAGCATAATGTGTCTCAAACTCCCTCAACATCCTCAAAGCTACGTTTCGTTGGCGGGAGGTCCCAGAATTCTGCGAGTCCGGAATAATAATTCCTTCGATAAAACGGGGTTCAACTCTGCGGTGAGCACTGTTTAAATGGCTAAAGGCGATTTCCAATACCTCAAGTTCCTGAAGAATGGTCGTCCTAAGCTGTCGGATCCGTCGGCCAGCCTCAGTATCAGAGCGTAGGCATCTATGTCGAGCAAGGCGTCTCAGTGCTTGGACCACTTCCCATTGGGTAATAATAAAATCCTGGATAAACCGTTTATCTATTTCATATCGTGCGTGAAGGTTGAGAGACTGTCGGAGATGCTCATAATACCAGTCTACTTGTTCCGTCTCCTGGGAGAGATTATCCATGGCTTGATTCTTGGTCTGGAATTAGTACTTTGTGAAATGCTATTGAGGCAGACTTAATGTATTCTGTAGAGGCTTGAAGTTGGATGTTTAGAAAGGGTTATCCCAGAAGATATCAAACTGAGTGCCAGATATGTCTCTTAAATTAATACCACTGCTGTGAGTAACAAACTGGTAGGTATTAGGGACAGTGAATAATATAACTGTGAGTGGCTTTGAGTAAGTAAAAGTAGTAACTATACAGGGATTATAAGTGTATGATAGCTACTACCATCCTTAACTAGTACTCTAGGGCTTTAGTTCACCGCTATAAGGATAAATCCTCGCGATCTATACTTCATACAGTCTCTTGCTGCTGTGATTGTCTGTTTCCAGACAGTGATAAGATCAAGCAAAAGTAGAGACGTGCAGTACTAATAAAAAGGTCGAACCGGGGGTCGAACCCGGGACCTCTCGCGCACTCGTGTGAAGCGAGAATCATAACCACTAGACCATTCGACCTTGAATGTAATTCGTTGAAAATCACTTTCCTGATACCGTTCAAGTTCTGACTGAGTGCTTGCGCAAGGTGCACCTCTTAGTATCCTAAAGCTGGGGTCTTCACTGAACTTGAACCTATCAGGTTCCATCCATTCACCTAAATAAAGAATTCTAAAATCTGGGTATATTCTTATAATTATTACAGGCCATAAACTCATTTTTACTTTGTAATCCTTCTTGTTGCTTAAATCATTCAAGATTAGGTTGGTCCGGGATAGTCAGGCAGCTCTAGACCCATCTTCCAAGCTTCTGCTCTAGCAATAATAGGCGCCATCAACTCGGTTAGGCCACAGTGATGTCGAATGAGGACCTGCGGCAGGTTATCCTTTTCTGCCACCGCAAAACCAAACGGTATTGGTGAGCTGCCAGAGGCTTGGGTGCGCTGTGACAGTGATGGCCAGTATGAGGTACTTGTTGTTGATTGCTACGTTGGGTTGAGGCACCATCTCAGAAGCAGATAGGAACCCACTGAAGCCTTGCTAACGGCGAGCTGGAATAGCACGGCACCACTGGTCCGAACACTTTGATTCAACACTATCTTCTAGCGAGCTGAAACAGTTCGACGAAGGCGCATGTTTTAAAAAGTAAATAACCTGGTGAACAGCCAAACCACTGAATGTCGCTGATGGTCCGGGGTATAGTCCACACTTTTTTGTTGCTTGTATTAAATCACCTAGGAGCATAGACCTGCAGACACGGCTGCAACCTTTTTTCTTATCATGCAGGTCCTTCTATTAAATCACCTAGGAGCATAGACCTGCAGACACGGCTGCAACCTTTTTTCTTATCATGCAGGTCCTTCTCAAGCACATCCAGGTCTGTAACCAAGCTGCGCAAGACAGTAAGTCTCCTGCTTTCCATCAGGTCTAAATTGTAAGCTATAGTCAAATATTTATTGAGATTCACCCACCCATGATATTTACACGAATCGGCAGGTCATAGCTCGAAACAGTACCTCGGCTGTGTTGTATGGCTAGCCTAGTAGCTATCTTGAAGATGCTTGCATGCTCAAAGACGAAGGAGGCAAGAATAAGCTGGGCCAGCGTTTTGGTGTATGTCGGTGCGAGGTTCTCTTAGGCGACCATCCAGCCCTGGCTAAAAAATGCGCGACTGTATCGTGGCATTCCAAGTCTACCACGATAGAGGCCATGACGGCTAGTAGGTCCAGTAAGACGACTCGTGGAATGTTGTGGGTTTTCCTATGGATGATCTTCAGCACCAGCTTAGAGGCTTCAGCGTCGAAAAGACCCTCGAACTTCCAGTGGGAAATCTATCATCGACTTTTGAAGCCTCTTTAAGGTTGTTTGAGAATATCTTGGATGCACGGCAGGATGCAGATGTGAGGTGCTTCTGTGAGCATAAGAACTGCTTCTCTTCTGGTTGTTCCGGTTCAGTGCAGGGCTTGGTGGCTGGAGCTTTCTTCATTAGAAGAATCGGCAGAGTGTCACCACTGGAGTCAATTTGAACAGCTGTTGTTGCCTTATTATTGGTGTTGGTGTTGTGATTATTGATGCTAATGGCTATTTTAAGAAGTCAATAACATGTTTTTGCATCGCTACCAAATATGTTAGAATTACAGAGAGCTATTAATAGTGGTTAAGAGGCCAACCATTTCCAATGCATATTTCTAGCAGCTTACCCGGGAGTATACTTATAAATCTGTTTATGTATATTATTAAAAACTGTACTACATTAAAAAGAGGAAGAAAGCTTGGGAATAAATAATTTAAGCTTTAAAATAGAAGATATTACATATTTGGAATTTCCTAGATAGCCAGCCCACATTGTAATTTGTAAATACTTTTTTCATTGATTTTAGATTTTAAGAAAATGAGTCAATCCAAACTCAAACTTTTTAAACTTTGGGTTTACCGTTACTACTTCTAAGTTCAGTGCCATTTAGTCAAGCAATGCCATAAAGTCTTTAAGCCAGACATAGGCGTATCACTAAAGGATTCTTTACAACTAGAAGGGCTGGTTCGATGATAATAGTTATCATTTTCGTGGAGTTGGCAATATAATTACTAAAAGTTAATAGTTTTACATCGAAGCGTAATTGGTTTAGTGGTAAAATTCTCCGTTGCCATCGGGGAGCCCTGGGTTCGATTCCCAGATTACGCATTGCACAGCTGGTGGATCTCCCCTACATCCTTGTCTTTTGATATTTTTGCATTGTTTGACTTTGCGAAACTAGCCACGAGGCCCCTTGCTGATTCTCTGAGCAAACCAGAGGATGGTACGAGAGCCTTAATGAACCAGACCAACATCCCGCAGTAACTGAACACTGGGTAAATCCCTCATAGCAAGCTCCGGATAGTGAAGTTAATGGTCTCTATGGGGCTGATCTGCTCCATTGATAAGCTGCTGTGAAAGGCGCTGATTGACCTGATTCCGTAAATTCATGAACTGGAAGAGCAGTGTCCTCTCTACTTCTAAATCTAACTTTGTTCTTTTTCTCCCTCTTGAAACCAGCCAGTCTACCGTAATATCTCGCAAAATACATCACGGTTAGCTTGTGGCTTATACAGGTTATGCTTTCCTCCCGTGCAAATCTCTGCCTTTTTAAGTTAATAGAAACGCTATCTTCTCGGGCCTTCAATATTCCCTTCCTCATGATTTGATCAAGAGTTAACTTCCCTAACCCAGCTCTGACTGACGTCGCGCTACCCGTGATGTATTTTGCGAGATATTACGGTATTCGTAGGTTTATCCAAATATATTATAATCAGTCTAATATTGGATTGAGTTATATTGAGACTGGTTTGGTCAATAAGCCGATCAACTGTTTCTCGCGAGGAATTGATGTTTAGCTCGACGAATTCTTTAATCGGAAAATCCGACGGTGATGGGATAAAAAGAAGGTCTCGGAGGGAGTCGAACCCTCGCTGGCGGAATCAGAATCCGCAGTCATAACCGTTAGACCACGAAACCTTATTGGCTTTTAACCATGATAGACAGTGGCAAATTGTGGTCCCATGTAATAATTCCGGCGCCGACCACATCATTTCCGAACATTGCAAGCCACATTATTCACTGTGACTTATTTGTCCTAGCTGACTCTCCAGTCTATCGTGATATAGTAGTATACACATAGAGAACAGTCGATATTCCAAGTTAATTAACCATACCACTCCTAGAAGACTAAGCAGCAGTGAGAACAAAAGTCCTCAAGCATGATTATTGAGCAAGACCTATGATCTGACACTTCGTATAAGCTACTGCACTTGGGTGATCTGATCGTGTTCGGTTGTGCGAAATCGCCTCAGAAATATTTGCAGGAGTAATAGAACCTCGTTTGTGTAGCTACAGATCATCATTAACAGTGAATATCTCCAAGGAGTTGTAATTATATGGATGTCTCAGCCGAAAATTGCTTGATTGGACCTACGGACCCATCTGTAACGGACTGGCCCGCTCGAATACAAGTCTTCTTCCCGATGCTGATCATCCGGCGGAGTGTCTGCCGTTAAAATTAAAGAGGAAGGTTATTTCTATCTCCAGCCTCAAAGCTGAAATCTTCATACAGCATACATCGCAGAAACACATAACTTGCACCAAGAAAGGAGACATATAATAGAATCATTATTCTTTACTAGGTTTCCATTACCAAGTTAATTATACTAACAGCCTATTTTGGCAGGTGCAGACTGTATGATTATTGATTCCAAGTAAGAAGTGCACTGTGGTATGGAACCTAGCGACATATGACAGACTAAAGCTTGAATGTCCGTAGGAGCGGAAAGGTATGCTAGGTTTAGACTGATAACAAAGTATAAGAGAGCAGCTCTATCTTGGACAATAAATAGATTCCATAACACAAGCAAGAAGAAGCACCCCACAACGCTTCTATAAACCACTTTCCCTGCCAGTAGACCTCAGTAAGCACAACATCCCTGCCTCCTACCCCCTTAAAATGTACATCTCGTATAGGCGATTCTTAGCAAGTTAATATTAAAGTGCTCTGAGAAAGACATTCAAGAATTAGGTTGTGTTAAGACTACAATGGACACCAGACTATATGACCCGACCTTTCAATAGGCAGCATCGCCTCGTAACACAATAATTTTCGGAAGATAGAGTTCGTGTCTAGGAATAGCACAGATTTACCGCTAATCTCACTATGCTGTCATTTCCTTCCAAGTCAATCGAAGTTGTAAACAAGGCTAGGTGGAGACTGGCCGAATCTGACAACCTGACTCTGACTCTGACACTGGCCTACTTTGTCGTATAACTGAACGGACCGGAAACTCGGAGGCCGAGGAGTAAAGGTAAAGCCCTGACTCTTCGTACCGCAAACTTTAGTGTGAACGATGAGTTTGTTTTTCTCGACCGCACCAGCTCGCAGGAGGGAGCTGGATAATTCGGCATGCAAGGCAGGGGACGATGGAGCCGAGTCAGGAACGTTAAAGCGTACAACTCGGCTAAGCGGCTGCCGCGCAATCAAGCTTTCCGGTGTGCCCAATAAACGTTCTTGATGCGGCCACGAGCCCCACCCCGTAAAGAGTGATCTGATCGCGTATCCTAGTCCTATTTTTGAGTAGCTTCGGTCCTTTCCGCACCAGGCCTCCGTAATGATGGACTTCAGGGTCGCTTCGAGCCTAGTGGCAGTGGCAGTGGCAGTGGCATACTTTAACAACCAACAGTTGCCATGTTATCGAATGATTAAAGTTCGTATAAAATGCCTTTCAGCCCCGCCACGAATGGGGTTATCTATGATGCTCCCTGTTTTCTTTCTTGCAGTTCCTAAAATTCCCCCGGTTAACTTCCACTGAGTCGTATACTAGAAGGTCAGGAATTGGCAACTCCTCTTCTACACAAGGCCATGGATTACCTCCTCCTTCTCCGAGCCAACAGGCGAAGAGGTGTTCTTATTGCTATGGGCATCCTTGTGACCTTTGGCCTGCTACTACACTCCTGGCTGTTCTACTTCCCATCTGCCACCGACTTGGGCTTCCGGTAAG